GAAAACATGCACACTGGGCTTGGGAATCGTGTCCCAGGTGTGTCCTGCAATGAGGAAAAGCTGTCCAGGTGTGTCCTGGGGTGTGTCCCAGAGCGGGGGACACCCCTCCAGGTGTGTCCTGGGATGGGGAACAACTGTCCAGGTGTGTCCTGGGATCGGGGACAATCCTACAGGTGTGTCTTGGGATTGGGGAACGACCATCCAGGTGTGTCCTGGGATGGGTGACACAGGTCCTGGGGTGTCCAGGGGTGGGGGACACCCCTCCAGCTGCGGGATTCCCTCCCATCTGACATTCCCATTCCCATTCCTGGTTCCAGTGCCTGTTCCTGGAGGAGCACATCCGGGAGGGGGGCGAGCAGGGGGACGCGGCCCAGGGGGTGTCCTGGGTTCCCCCCTGTGACATTCCCATTCCCAATCCTGGTTCCAGTGCCTGTTCCTGGAGGAGCTCATCCGGGAGGGGGGCGAGCAGGGGGAGGTGACCCTGTGACATTCCCATTCCCATTCCCAGTGCCTGTTCCTGGAGGAGCACATCCGGGAGGCGGGCGAGCAGGGGGAGGCGGCGCTCCGGGACGCCAAGGCCAAGCTGGCGGGGCTGGAGGAGGCCCTGCAGAGGAACAAGGAGCGCGTGGCCCAGCTGGTCAAGGAGCACCAGGAGCTCATGAACATCAAACTGGCCCTGGACGTGGAGATCCTCACCTACAGGAAGCTCATGGAAGGAGAGGAGAGCAGGTGAACTGGGAGCACTGGGATTGCTGGGTTGGACATCAGGAGATCGTGGGTGGGTTGGGATGGAGGGACCCTCTCCAGGGACAGCCCCCGCTGCCCAAATCCCCAGTTCGGAGCCGGGTTTGGCCACGGGAAGGACAAATCCCTGCAGCTCAGGCCCATTGGCTGCTCCCAAGTTTTTCCCTGGACTCCCCGGGTTGAGGCTTCCAGAACTTCTCCAGATGTTCCCCAGAACTTCTCCAGATGTTCCCCAGAGCTTCTCCAGATGTTCCCCAAAACTTCTCCAGATGTTCCCCAGAGCTTCTCCAGATGTTCCCCAGAACTTCTTCAGGTGTTCTCCAGAACACCTCCAGATGTTCTCCAGCATTTATTAGATTTTCCTCAGG